GATTTATATCCCCAAAAGACAAAATCTTTGGCCAAACTGAACAACCAGAAAGAGGCAAACCCAGGAACTGAGAGCAGATTTTGTCCTAAGCCCCAGGCTCTTGCTCACCTCACTGGGTTGGAGCATTCTGGATTTCAACTCTACCCTGAGTGAGCGTGGTGATTCCCCATTCTCTCCTCCATCCATAGCACCGTGACCACCAAGACCTGGATTAGATCTTCCTATTCCCCTTTCCTTCCCTACCTTGAGAGGGACATTGGTTCGCAGAATCAGCATTGGCTGTGAAGCTGCAGGTGGTGGAGGAAAGGCCCTGCCTGGCTAAGCCATTTCCACAGTCGATCCCTTGATCCAGCTGTAGTCCCAGGCAATTGGGCGCCAGGGTACTTGGTTCTGGCTGTGTCTGTGAAGCCTGCACCTCTGACAGGTAGTAGCTCAAGTCTCCACTGCAAGTCCCTTGGGGACAGGTCTCCTGGGTGGGAGCTGAAAGGAGAAGGGGCTTCAGTTGGAACAGTCTCAGTTTTCCCTTTGTTAAGTGCTCCCAGACACCCATCCCTGCAGTTCTTGCTTTTCACTGAAGTCTTCCAGTGATCTAGGCCACACAGACAGACATCATGTAAATGCAGGCGATGTCACCTTTCTTGTCTGTGCCTGAGGAAGTTGACATGAACTGCGGTCCAGGGCTAGGGTATCCCTGAAGTGATATAGTTGTGTAAAATTGCCTGCATCTGTGGGTGTCCAGAGAAGAGAGAATTCTCTTATTGAAGGCAGGTAGTTAGGAACATAAATTTCAGAAAGGAGAGATTCCAGATCTTAAAAAAGAAGGTTTGTTGTGCAAATATTATCTAGATGAACTACTGTGGACAGGAACTTGCTAAAAGCCCTAAGCCCTTTCCAGCTTTCATGCCCACAGGCTGCTCTTGTAAGAAGGAGCCAGGTGACAGAGGAGTCCGTAGGGACAGGAGTAGAGGAAGTTTCACCCTCTGGATGTATGTGATCAAAACTGCATTCCAGAGCCAGATTGAAAACAGACTCAGTGTAGATGGCCTGCCTGCACTGACAGCCTGTCTCAGCAGCACAAGCTGCAGAAAGAAAACATGTGGAGGCTGCCTGGGAAGACACTGGAGCTTTGTGGCCTTCAGGTTGGAGTACTCACAGGCTACATCCAGAGCAGAGCATCTGAGCTGATCATCCAATGAGGACAAGGTGCCGCTATAAGGCTGGTGGCAGTCAGACAGGTCATGGTGAACTGAAGGAGTCAAGTAAATTTCATCCAAGGAGTCTTCTGGGACTTCCTGCTCCTTCAGCTGTGGCAGCTCCTGGCTCAGCCTGGAGTAAAGAAGACAGAAGATGAACACTGGACAGAACCAAAACCACTGTGTCCCGCTGGTTCCATAAGGAGGACTACAGGACAAGCCAATACAGTGCCCTCATAAACGTCCTTCCCTGTCTCAAGCAGGAGACAGAGTGGCAGGTGCTCAGTGCACTGGGCAGACAATGAGCTGGGGAGGAAGGAGACGGACGGATCCCGGTGGGAAACTGCCAGGACACAGTGCATTCAGCA